TCTCTCTCTCTCTCTCTCTCTCTCTCTCTCTCTCTCTCTCTCTCTCTCTCTGTGTGTGTGTGTGTGTGTGTGTGTGTGTGGGGAGAGAGAGAGGGGGAGAGAGAGAGGGAGAAAAAGAGCAGCACAGCAGTCAACTCTCCCCACCCGAGGCTGAAGGTCAACAGACGATCATGCTAAGCTTGCGAACTGTTCCACCCTCTGACTGCTGCAGGGGCGTGTCTTAGAGAGAGGCTTTTATACCAGAACACAGCCGCTGTGACGAAACTATGGAAAAGACATGTCACCGTGGACAGCCATTAACCAATATGCAAATTAGCCTACAGTACCACTGCTCTACCCACATGAGCAGCAAAAACACATTTTTAGACCAAATATTACAGATTTGAACAAATACGCACAAAAACATCAAAATTAGCACAAAAACAGTACTATATAACATTTTAGACACATTCTAGACAGTTTATCAGCTAAAAAAAAGTTAATTTTGGGTTAAGTTACTCTTTAAGCACAGGCAAAATTACCACAGAAAAAAAACATCCGCAACTATTTTAAACATTGGCATCAAGTGGATACTTTCTCATATAAAAACTATCCAACATTATATTTGTCAAATTTACTTGGAAAAAAAAACTTTTTTAGAAAACGGCTTTACCTGCAAACCAGCATTTGTTGTTAGTTTCCTCAGCATTTTCAACCCAGATCTTATTCCAGGAGTGGGCGAAATCGATCAAGAGGATGAGCTGAATTAGGATGAAGATGAAGGAGCCCACGACTCCAAAGTAAAACCACACTGTCACGGGTAAAAGGAAGCAGATACACAAGTTTTCTATTACTGCTTGTAAGTAAAACATACATACATATATTTGGTATTTAGAGCCTGGCAACATGACGTMACACCAGTTACAGCTGATCTTTAGCACCGTTCATGATGTTTATGTAACGTAAACATGTTTAATCATTTCAGTCAACATTTATGGTGCACTTATGTCATTGATGAAAAGAACWTTCTTAATTACAACCATGAAAAAACATAATTAACTTTAGTGATGACCTGCCTTCTGTTTWATTTTCACTATAACTATATATCCATAAAACATGGACTAATAATAAGTAAGACTTAGAGACATCATTTCCAGCAATATAAAACAATGAAAGTGTTCTCCTGGCATTTGCTTTTTGATTTGAACGCTTTAATACTTTTCATTCAGTCTAGGTGCAAGCTTTAGCCGGCATCAGTGATGACAAACTTGACTGAATGCAGTGATAAAATACACAGAATACAGATCAAATATCTGAGAGGTGGGACGGGCATTTCTGTATTCCTTTAAGTGCCTGTGATGTCATATTTTTATTATAAATACAAATTAATGTAATATTGGAAAGACATTAACATATTGTTAAAAATTACATGAACCGTGTTAAAATAGTGTCACAAATGTCACTGAAAAAGCCAACTCAGACAGCTATTTTATAGGGCTGTGTTTTGGCAAGAATTTGGCGATACGATGCATATCATGACAAAGGGGTCACGATATGATATATCCCAATATATTGCAATACTGTAAGCAAGGCGATATATTGCGATTTTTTTGGTCCAAAAACTCTGTTAAATAAAAACCCCTTACTGGGGGAAAAAAATGAAAAACCAAAATTCATTGTCTCAGAAAATTATAATATTGCATAGACATACTTTTGATACATTTAGCTGTGTTCTGCTTTGTATGTATTTTAATTTATTTGTTTCATATTTCTTATTTCATCCATGTTTTCAATTATCAGATTAAATTAGCCAATAAATAGGTTGAAAATATATTTTTCCAGCTTTTAGTTTTTAATATTAATTTACAATATGGTCACCCAACACTTAACAATAGCCTCTACCTCAAGAGGTAGAGTAGCCAAATGGCTGGCTCACTGCTGCCAACTAGTGGTCAGAGGCTGAACTACAACATAAAAATGAACGGCTGGCAGGAAAGCTAACATTTTAAACCTTAATAAAAAATCGATGCAGGGCTTTAGAATATCGGTACAGTATCAGGAAATTAAATATCGCGATATTTCAATGTATCGATATTTTCTTACACCCCTACTATTTTAGGACAATGAGGAGGAACGCCTGCATGCAAACAGAGCATTGGTACAATGGGTCACAACACAGGCAATAAACAAGGAACTGGTCTGATTCAGGGGAAGGCATTGCAAACTCACAACTTTTGTCAGTACTGCTGTAACCAGCTCTACTAAATCATTTGACAATATTGACTAAAAAGTTCAAAACAAAAATAGGTCAGTTATGTGAAAAAAGGAGTAAAATTGTGCATATTATGACAAATTTCATTAATATTAAGATGCTTTCTTCCAGGTTTTGTATTTGTAAGAAGTGTATATCACAGGCAGTTCAAGCCTCAATACTTCCAGTTGTGTCCCTTTTTTTATTGTACATTTTAGGTATAATGGTAACAACTTATCTATTTTTCCTAGTAATATTGATCGATTTCAACTATTGATTACAAAAATGAACAGCAGAAAGATCAATACCCATCTGCTCTTTTTTCTAGTTTTGGACTTAACATAAGTCCCATAAAACATTGCCCTGCCTTGAACAYATGATGCCAAACTCTATTTCAGTTTGTTTAATATTTATTTTAAATCATTAAATCAACAGAGATGTTAGTACCAGTATGAAATGTTCCATCTGGGATGAAAAAAGCTCCCACTGTAATCCCAACCAGGATAAGAAATTTAAAGAACCAGAATCTGAAAAGGAAAAGAAAATCCCATATTCAGCAAAAAATAAAATAATTWAAAAAAAAACAACATCAAAAAGAGACTGGATCTCTGTATAATAAAAAGGCCAGCAGAACGCCTACCCGTTTTGAATAGCTGCTCGTGGGTCTTTGCTGTTACGGACACGTATCATGATGATGGCGAACAAGAAGAAGAAGCAGGCCATGGCGAAGCACATGCGATACACAGACTTGTAGCCCACGATGACCTCACAGTTGACCTGGTTTTCAAYACTGATTATAGTAGTTCCTCCCTTACAAAACCCTGGGATCTGTGAAAGAGAGGAGAGTCAGATGAAACAGCTYAAATATCAAATTAATCCAGGCAGTGTTTACGATATCAAGATCCACGTAATTTCCTGTGTGGACAACTTATTACGAAAATGTCAACAAAAATAATTCCAGCCTTCAACAAAACAGCTATTAAACGGTCTTATCCTCATAAAAAGCACACAAAAGGAAATCAAAAGCTCAAAAAACTAATTCACAAAGAGACATTTATTACTGTGTATTATATTAGGACTAAAACCTCACTTTGCGGAGCTGCGTTTCCATTCCAGGAAGGATCATGATGACGGACACAAGTGTGCCAAGAAGAAGGAAGAAAGAGAAAACCAGTCGTGTGACGGTGGAGTTATTTGAGGGACAGCAGCCACACAGAAGACATGGTGCTGAACCACAGAGACAGGAGGCCTGCGAGGGATAACATGAGGGAAAAAAGGAAAAAATAAACAAAAAACAGTAAAGCTTTGGGCGAGATATCAGTCAACATCAAACACATATAATCTGATGCTCAAACCGGTGACACTCAAATCATAAACAGGATGTGCCGTAAAGGAAAAGCTCTGCTGTTAAATTATTAAACATGATGCTGGTTTTCCAGAACTGCCAAAGAGGATGTACATACATTACGATCAAATATTTTGTGTCAAATCTGACAAAGATGTGTCAAAYAAACATCACGTATTGTTCATTCTATGGGCGTTCACTGTCACAAGTAAAACACAAGTTCAACCTTTTCCTGCAGCGACTCATTTGTCCTGTTGGACAGGGCTAAGAAGCTGTAGACGTGATTAGGCTAAAGGCTAAATAAACAAAATCACATAATTTATCTTAGTTAATATTTTTTTTTAATTTATCTCATGTGACTTATCGTAAAAGCTTCCGCGTTTCTTAAGTTTTACAATCGGCCTGCAAAATGTTCAAACACTTCCTCAGTCATTATTTATWTACAATACTAGCTAGATTCCTAAGCTACTTCCCTCAAAATTAATTTAATAGTTACGTGTGAATAACGAAACCCGAATACGAATTTAACTGGTTTCATTAGCTGTAGTAAAACGGGTTTTGTTAGCCATTAGGTTAGCATWACTAACATTAACAAACAATGGCAGTGGACAAAAAGCGATTATTTGACATTCAAGATAAAAGAGGTTTTAAGACGAAATACTTACACAACTTGCTAAAGAGCACAAAGCCAGACAAGCCCCCATTTTTACATCAAAACGCAGAAATGTGTAGTTTGAGCCCTCGTCGTGACTCTGAYGAGCTGTCAAATACAGGAATCAACACAATCGGAAGTTACTCGAAAAACTTTCAAAATAAARGCCGCATGTTGTGACGACGACCGGAAGACTTTTGTTTTAGCGAGTTTTTTTGTTTGTTTGTTTTCTCCCGAATTTTACAGAAACCGAGCGCACATTTATTAATAACATTGCCCAGTTTTAGCCAGTCATACAGCGTATGAAACATAAATTCAGTTAACCATTCGTGTGTGTCTGGCTGTAGCAGCCATCTGAAAATAGGCAGACTTCAAAAGTTAAATTAAATCACTACYTTCTGCAAGTTTCAATAGATTGAATTCAGTTTTGTTCAGTTGTTCATAAAATATGTCGGTAACAAACAGACACATCGGGCAAAAACATTACCATGTGGACGATAATGTTACTACAAACCTCATAAGTTAATACCGCCTTAATACACCCATTCTTACTAAAGCCCAGGCCAACAGTCACGGTGTCATGTGAACTAAAACTTACCAGCTAATCACTTTTGGCGTTACATTACGTTTACTGTATATTATTACTCACTGACATTTTACACTTCTCTTTGTTTTCAAGTATGCCCCTCCTTCAACTTCTCTTTCGCGCGCGCTAGTTYCAACTCTCGCTGTGATTGGTGGGTTTGGACCAATGAGCGCCGACGTCGCTGTTGACGTAACGTTCAGAGAGTTTGTGCGCGAAGGTGCAGTTGTTGGCGCTTTGAATAGAGACAAGAAGGTGGAGAGAAAAAGGTTTGTACTTCAAGCTGAGCTGCCTTTGACGGTGAGGAACTGGAGACAAAGCTGCTCGTACTGATAAATAACCACCCAGGARAGCGTTAGCCAGCTCTACAGCTTGTTTTGGGTCCTGTTAGTTGTGTTTGTTGTTATGCTCGGCGTCTTTAAGTCCGTTTGAGTAATTTATCTTTATTATTTGTTATGGCCGTCGTTGTTCAAATGAAGCGTTACAGTAGAAAAGAACGCAAAAAATGGAGATTTAAATATCTTCAGTGGTTGAATTCGGTTGATAAAAGTCTTATTCTGTATTGTTTTTGAGTTAGTGTTATGTAACTTATTCCACGTGGAAATAACATTCTTAACTGCTAAACCTACGTAAATAAGTGTTTCATTTTAGTTCTCTACAATGCATAGTTTAAGCTTTAAAACTGTAACTTTAAATTGTGTGTTTGTTGCTCCTCCCCGCCATTTTTTGCAGAGGAAATCGTGCAGAAATGTGAGCGGTCTCCTGCTGAGGGGAGCACTAGCTTTTTACCCCAGGGCAAAAAAAAAAAAAAAAACGGCCTCCCCAACCTTTTTTCTTCATGGGGCAACTTTTCTTTGTGTCCTTGTGTAATTGCTGAGAAGTGGAGAACATGCAGTACGCTCCAAGTCATGTTGTGACTGGTTTATTCTGCTTCATAACTTTTATTAGTCCTGTGAAGATTAATTGTTTCCACACGTGCCACTGACACTTCTTTGTTGTTTATCTCGCTGTTTTGATTCCACAGCACTTTTCTTTCACAATGCAATTTAAGAAAAAGAAAACATGTGTTGTTTGCTTTTTTACATTTTTACTAAAATAGTGGATATATTTTTTAGAAACCGATCTGTGTTCATAAGTAGATGTTCAGAAGATTTAATTGGATTGGTGCTCTGTTTTGTTACATTTTTTGAGTCCACATGTTTAAAATCTGTTACCACAAAACGTTTTTCAGAGCTACAGTATGTGACAGAGTGTTGGGACCTATTGGAAGACAAAATGATGATCAGATTTTTATTTTTACTTTAGTTCTAAGATTAAAGTGTAAATAATGACAAAAGTTGCAATGTAAGGAAAAGAGTCACCTTTCAAGACTTTCGCAGTGCTCCTGAACCCATTTGTTTATGATTAGGCTGTTATTTTTGTATTTGATGTTTATTGGTGCATTTTTACAGAGTTGATTACAAAAAAATGTGCAACACTTTCTGTCTTAACTCTTAAATAAAAATAGAGTTTTATGGTATTTTTATTGTTTTGTCSGGACGTTTAACCAATAATTTCCTAAACGCATGTTTTTTCCTCAGTATAATGCATTCATTTAAATGAACAGTTTGATTTTAAATTGGAGTGAAGTGCATGAAATCTTACATTTTTGTAATTGTTTTATCCTCTTACAGGAAAATTATAGAAAACATCAGCAAAAATGGATAACTCTGTTGGTGAGTGCAAAATACATAAATACAGTTGTTATTGTTTTGTGAGACGTTCTAATAGACTTCATTACAAATTCTTGATGAAAACTTTAAAATCTGGGAAAAAAAACATTAAAATTTTCTATTTACACTGACTTACGCTGCTTCACACGTCTGTTATGCTTAACTGACCCTGTTATTGATGGGCAAGTGAAGCRTTTCTGAAGCTTGTTTTAAGTGGTGTTTGGCGCCATCCTGTGGCTAAAATATGAAGTGCAGTTTGTAACAAACTGCTTCATGATTGGGCTGTTTAACATCATTTCTGTCTGATATCAGGTTGTCATTGGGCTGCTTTCAACACATACTTTTGTGGGTGAAAGGATAAAGTTATGGTTGTTCATAATGATAAATACAATTTAAGTCAATTTAAGTGTGCT